CAAATGTGTATGTTTAAAAACAGTATCAGAATAGAATACATTTTAATAATTTAGAATTTATGACAAACTCAAGGTAATAAGAAAAAAAAAACCATGTAAGGAACTAGATGTTTTGATTTTAATACACCTAACCTTTATATATTATTATTAAAACTTTTAAGATTTAGTATTGGTAAAATTATATGTTTCGTTAAAATAAAGATATTATTATAAAGTCACGGAATTCATGTTTAAATAATATCCGATGCTAGTATCTTTATTAAACCAAATCGTTTTGAAAAAAATCATAATCATATTTTTATAATTTATATTTCATATCTATTGTTCTAGATCAGATGCTAGGACACTAATTTGTTTGATACAAATCAACATTTTGAATAAAATGATTTATATTTGGTATAGTATAAAGTTTAACTAATGATAATAATATATAGGTTTTTAGATTTAAAAAAAGTGAGGGATCATTGGTTTTACTATGTAAAGTGTGTTATTTTTGTATTTTATAATTGTTGTGTTTTTAAGCATTTTTTATATCAGAAAACTTGCTCTAATCCAAAAATTACTAGAGACTTTTACTGTTGCATTTTCATTCTATTTGGTACTTTAATAAGGTAGTTTTATGAAATTATCATTAATATTCGAAATAATAAAAAAAACTGGTTTTTTAGGTAACAAAAAGATTATAAAATTAAAAACTAGGTTGTCATTGGCAACCGTCTTTATTAATATTTTTGTTATTATTCAATTTATTTTTATTATCTTAACTGTTTAATCTTTTTTAAATAATATCGTTATTATCGTGAAAACGTATATTGTTGAAAAAACAATACTTATGCTTGAGCTTCATTCAGAATCGTTTTTCGTTAGCAATGATTTTTAATCTAAATGCTGAGAATAGTTTTTGAATTTGGTTTTTCTATAAAATGGCATAACCGGAAAAACTATTGAAAGAAAGGGAGAGTTTACGTAACTATAGTGGTTTCATTATTTTACATTTTTGTTTTTTTGTTGTAAATCAGTTAAAAATATTTGTAGAGATTATAAATTTTGACAGACAATTTATATTCGTCTTTTCTAAATGTCGTGAATTCTTCAAAATATTTTGAATGTATTTATAGGCTATTATGTTTGTAAGTTATTTACGTAATTTTTATTTAATAGGTACCAAGTGGGTATAATTGTTTGACCACACAAAAATATTTGAAAATTTAACACGAGATACATTCAAATTTGTACTTAATGATTAAGTAATATAAGTTGAGCGTAATCTAGTTATTTTTTTTATAAGCGTTTTAGAACCATATTTTGACGTAAATATTATGGCATTTTAACCGAATATCGCTCAAAATCGTTGTTCATTAGCAATGGTTTATAATTGTTGTAGATATAAATTTAATAATTTATTGTATCCTACCTTTCCCATTTCCTCCTTACAACTGTGGAACATACGTCCCTGTTATTAGTTCATTTTTTCTTCTACCTAGTTTATTTGTTACAAAGATTTAGGTTCTTTTAATATCAATTTATTAAACCGTCATTGAAGATAAATAATGAAAACTATTCTGGAGGTTGTTTAGTATGCTATAATATATATATTGGGAACTAATTAGGAATTATTTAGATGTTTAAACGAAGTTAATAGTCAAAAAAATAATCAAGAATTAGATATCACCGTATTCATTTCGATTTTATTTAACCGGACGTTAATGTTGATTTAACAAACATTGGTTTATACTATAGTCGATCCACGTAATTTAGATTTTTTTTTTAAATGTAAATAAAAATATGTACGTGATATATCGTTGACTTGCAATTATTATGTGGTCGAGAGTATGTAAATACTAAATACAATTTATCGAGTAACATTATTGGAAAGTTTACATAAACTCCGAGGTAAGAATAACAAGTTTTCTCGAAACAACAAATAAATAAACCATAATAAAAGTAAACACGTCAAAATTATAGTACGATCAAAGCTATTTGTTTGTCGATTCGTAAAACTTTCTCTTCGGTATTGTAATTTTTAATTTTTTTTTTATCTTTCAGTTGCTTTATTATGTATATACTATTAATAATGAAACTTTTGTACATATTACTTTAAGTTTTATTTAATTTATACCATATTTTAATGTATATATGCATAATATTTAGCTCTATTTTATATAGTAACAATGTTCGACGTTGAGGGAAATAGAAATATATTTAACCTAATAGAGCTCTACATTAAAAAACCATGAGTAGGAAAACAATTTCTCTGATTACCAAAATTTAAAGTAATACGAGACACAATAAGTTTCTCAAATCATAAATATACACGTTATGCCTTTTTTCTTTTCTTTTAATTTTTTTTTTTTAATTAATTAATTAATTAATTTTTATTTTATTTTTATTTTTCTTGTCTACACGTTCTTCTAAAAACAAAGTTAGTACTCAAAATATAACTAAAATAATATCGATAACACGAAACAAAAAAAATTATATGAATTTTTGAAAGTTTTGTTAACTATTCTAATAATATAACAAAAAATAACGTGTTCATCCTATTATACATTCGAAAGTTTGTTTGGATAGATGTTTGTTATCCCTTCACGCTAAAACTATTGCACAGATTCAGCTGAAATTTTGCATAGATGTGGTTTCATCTCAGGAATACTATATAGGCTACTCTCCTGAATTCAATCACTAAAAGAGGGCTGGCATAAGATTGTTATTATTATAAACACCGAGAGTATTATAAAAGTGAAAGATACTTCTCTTAATACCAGTATTATTCATTTTTTTTTTATGCAAAAATCAAGTAGACTACGAGGTATGGCTATTAAATAACGAGACTGCGTATGAAAAATGGTTTTATTTTAAAAATTATTCCACAACCAAATGTTCCCCTTCAATATACTCTCCTCCTCTCTTCACACACCGTTTCATTCGTTTCTTTCATTGCTCGAGGCAGTGCTGGAAGTCTGTTTTCGTAAGACCATTCAGGAGTTCCAAACATGTTCGTTTCTAAACGCTACAGAAAAAATACTAATGCACCAACAAAAACCCAATTTTGTGCTGGCATAATAGACACTTCCAGCTAACCAGCGCTGTATTCGGTTTTCCCCTAACTTTTTTGGAACGCTCTCTGCGCTCAGTCTCGTTGTTCAATAGCCAAACTTCGTATAGTAAACTATTTTAATAGACATAATATATTTTAATAAGTGTTAAATATTGTACCGATTTTCTTGCGTTTGGAAGGTTTTCCTATGTTTTTTCCCGGTTTTTCACATTTGATGGGGAAACTCTTGGGAAAATAGAAAAATTACCTCTTTAAAGTACCTTCCCAGTCAGATTTCCTTTTATAAAAAGTGCTTTAATTTTGAATCGGAGCAAAATATCTGGTAGAAAAAAAAGGCCGTAATAATTTTTTACTAACGTCTAGATTTCGTACATTTTCCTTTTTTCCTCCGTTTTTCCCAATTATTGGAAAACTCCTGGGAAATTCAAAAAGTAACCTCCTCTAAGTATCAAGTAGATAAAATTTTCTTTCAGATAAGGGTACATCGTATATATCGGGACAAGAATTCTAGTAGAATTTTTGTACACAATTCATAGTAATCGGTGAGGCGGTTAAGATATTCGTTTAACTTACATCTTTTATAGATGGCTTACTCCCTCGTCCTCCTTCTATTGTTGCAAAATAATAATAAGAAATAATGAGAAGAGACTCAATTGGACTACGAAACAACGATAGCAATAACAACTTAAATGGATACGATAATAATGATAACATATCCAATTCTGAATGTTGGCGACCATTCTAGCAATGTTCTCTCTGTCGGTGCGACACAAAAAAACTTTGATGAGCTATTTCCAAACCATACCCTTAGATTCTGAAGTCAAGATATTCTTCTTCTTCTAGGTCCTCTTTTTCCAAATATTTTCCCTTGTAAAATGGATTGAAGTATAGAATACCTACCTCATTCCTCATTATGTGTCCTAAGTATTGGAGTTTTCTTATTTTAATGGTGTTTACGAGCTCAGTGTCCTTGTCCATTCTCTTAAGAACTTCAATGTTGATAATCCACGACGTTCATAGTATCTTCATTATTCTTCTTTACAGCCAAAACTCAAAAGCTTCTATTTTCTTTGCAAAGGTATCATTCAGAGTCCAGGATTCCATACCGTAGAATAGCACAGAGAACATATAGAATCTTATGTGTCTCATTTTTGTTTTAAAAGATAAGTTATGACTTTTGAAGATTGCGCTCATTTTATTAGATGATGTTCTCGTTTTAACAATACGACATTTTATTTCCTCAGTGTTATCCCATTTTTCATTTATCATGTTGCCTAAGTAGCAATATTGTTCCACTCTTTCTATTCTGGTTTGATTAACATAAAGGCATAACTGGATTACCAGTTATATTTTTCTTGCTAATAATCATTTGTTTTATTTTGTATACATTTATGCTGAATCCAAAATGATTACAGAGTTGTGCTATACGGTTCACCTTAAGGTTAGCAGTCCAGTAATATTGTCGGCTAAAATTATAGTGTCATCCACATATCTAATATTGTAAAAAAAGATTAAACATCTGATTTTATACGACTTAATGTAACTTTAACGTTTAGCTTTAACGTTTAGCTTTAACGTTTAGCTAATAATTGAGGATGGTGTAGGGAAAACGGGAAAATTTACGAAAATAATGCCGTTATTATTTTCAATTTTGTTTTTTTGTTTGTCAGTATTTCATCTACTCGTGTACAAAGTTTCATCGTTTTCTAGCTCGAATTCATTGTTTTATTCCAAAGAATAAGTTTAAAAATGGTCAACTTAGGGTTATTTTGCGGTAGGTAAATATTTGTTATGTTTGGTATTTATTATGTTTTAGCGTGCGAAAAACGAATGTTGTCATAGATATGTGTTTTCATCAAAACTTTAGATACTTAATTTTAAACATTTCATACAATAATATAAACAATTTTTTTAAAAATATTTTGGTTATTATAATATAAAGATGAAGGGGAAATCACCAGGTCCGAAATATGGTGCGCCGACCACTGTGGGTTACGTGCTGGCCGACCCGAGAATTATTACGGCGCCGGCCTACTCGTTGGGAAAACGGTTGGATGCGGGTAGCCATTCTGGGCGTCGCGTGCCCGGGCCGAAGTACGATGTTTCCAACATTACCCGCCACGGCCGGGTCAGTGAAGGGGCTAACGGAGCAATAATAGTATCCAGGATTCCAGAGCGTTCGAATCGTATACCCGGCCCGGCCACGTANTATCAAATATCCACCAACAGCAATAAATTATCAATAAATAATCGACGTTTAAATTATCGTTTATCGCGTGCGACGAACGTTCGGCGGTTGTACAGGGTCAAGCTGGCCTCGCGGAAAAAACCGGGTTCGATACCGGCGCCGAACGCGTATAGCAAGGCCTCGACATTAGGGAACCAGGCGGTTGATGTATCGTCGGCGCCGATGTACACGATCCTGGGAAAACGTGTCGAACCGCAGGGTGGCGGTGGAAAGAGGATACCCGGGCCGAACAAATATCCGGCCGTCCAGTTGGAATTGTTTAAGTCTCCCGCCATGCCGAGGCCCGTCATTTTGGGCCCGTGGTCGGGCTGCAGAGGAAAACGCACGCCTGCGCCCAACGCGTATTTCCCGGGCCCGTCGTCGTCACGATACGCCTCCTCGCCTCAGTACTTCATGGCCGCTCGGATAGCCGAGCAGTCCCAACCTTATTACACGGCCGTAGACAAGTTGCCCGACTGGGGTGCATAAAATCTAAGAAATAAAAACCGGACAATTTTTTTTTTTTTGCATATTTCGAGTTTTCGATTAATTTTTTTTTTAAATCTAAATCTAGAGAGTTATACAATTTCGGACCAAGGTAATCCACAAATTTTTGACCAAAAGAAGTAAACGTATAATTAATTTTAGCATCATATACCTTAATTTCCCTAGTTTGTTTAGATTTATCTATATTATACCAATTTTCAATATTTTTTACTACCCACATATGGCAAATTTCTTATACAGTGAACTAATAGGCGAAACTTTGAATTCTTTATAAATTTGAGATAGAGATCCTTCTAAACTTTATTTATTTAGACATATTTTAATAATTTTATTTTGTTGCAGTTGTAGTGGTTTAATAGCTTTCTGGGTAAGACCTCCCCATACTCGAATGCCATATTGAAAAACTGCTTGATATAATGATAAATATATATTACGGACAATGTTAATAGGAAAAATATCTTTAAGTTAACAGAATTTGCACACTGATATTCTTAAACGCTTAACTATGTTATCTATATGTACATTCCACCTTAAATTTTCATCATAGGTAATACCCAGGTACCGTGTAAACAGTATTTTTGAAATTGATTTATAAATACGAGGGTTGTCCAAAAGTAATGCACAGCGCGCTCTAGCTGTCTTGCAATGTGATATTATCAGCTGATTTTAGTATCAGTTTGTATGCAGTTTTGTTTGTCTATAATATTGTATTTAGTTTAAAATAAAAACTTATTTATTCAGAGCAAATTGTGCATTACTTTTGGGACAACTCTCGTAATATTACATTGCTCCTTATCCCTACAATAATGGACAGTGATTTTATCGAAAGGCACATTTTCTTTGTTTATAGTAAAAGTCATAAAAACTGTTTTTTTAATATTTAACAATAGTTTCTTTGAGATTAAATGAATGATAACACTTGTCAATTAATTTTTCGACTTTTGGTATACTGAATTCCAAGTGGGACCAGAAAAAAGCAAACATGTGTCATCTGCATATGTAATTATTGTCCCATCAATTTTTAAATTGCATATACTATTTATGTATAATATAAAAAAGATCGGACCGAGTACACTGCCCTGAGGTACTCCACAAATTATTTCCCTTTCCTCACTTAAAATACNCTTTAGCAAGATCTAGAAAAATTGCCAAAGTTTTCTTTCCCTTATCAAGTGCATTATAAATGAAGCTAGTGGCACTATACAGAGCCTCTTCTGTACCTATACCTGGTCTAAAACCAAACTGATTTTTTGATAATAACTTGTTTGCTTCTAAGTAGTTTATTAAGTGGTTTTTTATAATCTTTTCTAATATTTTTGAAAAATTACATAACATAGAGATTGGTCTATAATTATTAATTTTTTGTTTATCTCCATTCTTATATAATGGAATTACTATTGCAGTTTTAAATTTATCGGGGAATATGCAATTGCGTATACTTAAATTACATATGTATGTTATTAGCTTCAGGATACTTATAGCTATGTATTTTAAAAGTTTGACAGATATTTTATCATAACCAGCTGAGGTGTCATCTTTAAGTTTATCTATTATTTGAAAAATATCTAGTTCATAGATTTGTTCTATAAATGCAGTATCAAAAGGGGAATTTTGTAGTTCAGTAATATCATCTGTATTGATATGATTATTACAATTGTTATTTTTATGATTTCCCACCTGAATAAAATAATCATTAAAGATTTGTGTCACTTTGTACGGTTCATCTTAAGTATTTATAGCCTTGTTATTGATAATTATAGTTTTTATTTCGTTTGAATTTTGGATTTCAGTGTCGGTAACTTCTTTAATTAATTTCCAAGTTAATTTGGGATTAGACGCTACCATGTATAATATTCGGTTTAATGTAGAAAATAAATATTATTTAGGTATCATTGAAAGGGACATTTATTTCAAATTATAAAGATGTCCTTCCGCGAATACCTACAATAATATCGTTTGTTTTTTATTATTATTTTTGTCATATTATATAAGTGAGCATAGAATTCTGAAATTATTTTTTATTTAAGGGCAAACTTTTCTTATATAAGAGCATACCTTTAAAATACATTCGCAACATCGTAAATTCGTATCTAACTAAATTAAATAAAGTAAAAGTTTAGTAAAAATATTCCATAATATAGAAGTTTAGCGTTTAGGTAGTTTTATAATAAACGTTCCTAAAAATATAGAATCCGAGTACCATTATATAATATTAGGTAGTTTTGTTTAAAAATATGACGTAATGAAAATAATATAACTATATATCTTTTGGCCAAGTCAAAGCTATAACAGAAAGGGTGGCTACTATAACCATATTGGCCATAAAAAATGTAACCACAGCCATATTAATCAAAGACGAAAAAAAATAAGTATTTAGATATTATTTTATGACTTATAATTAATAATAATTACATACAATTCTTTATTTGTACACGATAATGGTATTATTTGGGTTACTTGTATAATGGTATCACGTCTCTACATAATTTTAAAACATAAATTATTATAGTTGAGTTTTTCTAAATAATTTATGATAAAAATATCAATACCTATAATATTATTTTCCTAGATATTTGTTTACTCAAATATATTTCAGCTAGATAGACGTAAATTGGAACAGGGTTTTTCTTTTAGTACATTTACTTGCGCTTGTACAATAAAACTGTAGAATTTTCATTTATTTCATAGTGATTACTTACTTTAGCACATATATAATTATAAATAAAACAATTTGATTTGTATATCACATAGTTTAAATATACAAATTGATATTACATTTTATTGTACCTTAAATTATATTTTTAAACTCTTTTACTGTAATAAATTTAATCCTAAGTAATAACAATTTCAATAGTATATACATATTGATTTTATGATTATAGATTGTTAATATCATTAAAAATAAATTATAAAACTGTATATATTTGTTTACAATTCGTTTACCGACAGTCTTTTTGATATTTTCAAATGTTTTAATATATATATTATAATATTCTATAATACATTTGTAATATTATGCACTTAAATTTTAGTGTTACGCCTATAAAATTGTAAATTTTAATTTCACGGTGTAATGAATCAGCAGTGAAAATAATTTGATTTTTATTTTACAACTTGCGATTTTTCAAATATATCACATTACTCTTTAACTATTTTACTATATTTAAGTTTTATTTATTTTAATATTTTCCTTCACATCAATTTTATAAACGAGTTATAATAATAATATTTATTGTGGTAATATGTAGAAAAAAACAACCTCTGGGAACAAATTCAAATCATATTTTCTTATAGAATCTATTTGAAATGTATTATTGAATAGTACATACCTAATTAATTTATAAAGTTAACATCTAACATTTCCATTCAAATTTTTTGAGAATACCGATATTTTAAATCAATCATTGAAATAGTATTAATTATTATATCGCTCATTATTAATTGATTGAAAAATATATTACCGAGACGCTTAACAATCTAATTAAAATGTGCAATTCTACACAACAAGCCAAAATCCTTTACCAATCACCCTAAACTTTTTTTACTTTCATAGGTATATTTTTTGATAGCATGATACTCGTTCCTGTATATAATTTTACAAAATATCTAGGTATCGGGTGCAATTTGGCTTAAATTTGGCTTATAGCTGCACGTTAAACGTTGCTGTGGGTCCGATCCTCTACAAAGCAGTTATCTATATTAATGTGTATATACAAAGTCTTATAACAATAATGCACATTATTTGTGATAAGGAATAAATTAATTTTTATAGTAAAACGTTTTTGAAATCTTCGATATTTGGATATTTTTTAATATTATAATAAATATACTAAAAAGAAAAGAAGAAATCCTGATGTACCATTGTTTTAGGATGATAGTATTATTATAAGTATTTTTGATAAGTAATATTTTTATAAAACGATATTTCTAACAAAAAACGATTCTGAGCAGACGATTATTTGTCGTATTTCTTTCATTGTTGTTATAGTAATCCAGAAATGAACAAAAATTACACAAAAATATGGTTAATTTTACCCGTTTATAAAAAAATATAACGAAAACAAATAATTTCCTCAATAAATCAACCAGATCAAAAATTCTATAAGAACGTTTCTACAAAGTTTTTGATTGAAATATGGTTTCCGTCAGAAAAGTGGTTTAAAGAGACAAAAAATAGTTAAATAGTATGCGCATTTAAATGTATTCATTAATTAAAAATACTGAAATTATTATTATTACGTAGATAGTAGATTTTATAATCTAATGCATTCTGTCAATTAAGTTAAGTCACGCCAATTAGATTGCACGCGTTGAGATGACTAAATTTTTTTATGAACGCAATATAAAAATATGTATTTATTTATTTTATATCGTAATCGATCTTGGTATAGTGAGAATAATCGATAGAAATTTAAAACAATATAATTAGGATTATATAAATTTATCAGTCTGTATGATTTGTTCATTTATTTACTGCATATCGTGGCGTTATCAATTTTAATATTTTGATTTTTTTTTTTCGTTATTCATTTAAAAATGTTCGTAGAGATCAGAAATGTCCATATTATATTTATATTAGACATTCCTAGACGTAGTCAAATTTCTAAAATATTCCAGCTGTTTTTGAGCTATTTGTAAGACATTTTCGAGTTTTTTTTTAATAGTTTTTATTTGGTATGTATTTCACGGATAAAATTGTTTGATTAGAACAGAAATTCTTGAAAATTTAACGGGAGATTCAACATGTCTTAATTAAAGGAAAAAAAGTTGTGTGTAATGTAGTAGTTAGTTTTTTTTTTATAAACGTTTTAATATCAATTTTTTTTATTATTATTAATGTGTTTAAGGCAAATTAAAGCGAATATTTTGTTACTTTTAGTGCGATAAAATTCGATCCCTGATAAGCAGTATATCATTTTTACATTAAAATAGCTTGATTTCTATACCTTTTTCAAGGTAACGTCACACTGAAAAGAAACAAG